GCCCACCACCTCCCACCACCTTCTTCTCCCTCCACCCTCCGCCGCCCTCCATGTTGACGCCTGGTCACTCCCGGTGCGTCCACCTCCGATGCTTTAGGAACGTTCTCCTGTATTTCCAGTGCTGTTCCCGGGTCTCCCACAAAAGTCCACACGTGGACAAACAGGCCGAATAAATGGTAACAACCTGTGTTGCTCTCCTGCTCAGCAGCTCGGCTGTAGCCACGTCCCCCCGGTCGCAGCCGCAGGCGCTGCCCAGAGCCAAGCCGCCCGCGGGCCGAGCGGGTTTCGTGTTCACGGACCCCGGCTGCCAGGAAACGTAGTATTTAGATTTCCCTTGGCCATTTAGTGGGTGAAAACGGTGTGTCCTGTTGTGTTTAAACTCGGTAGCTTGGGGATAAGGTAGTTCCCTCTCCTAGTTATTGACCATGTACGGTTCTTCAGTGGCTTTTCCCATGTTTAAAGTTGCAGACATTTCCCCTTTTATTTGTATTTATTTTTAAAATGTTAGTACAAGGTGACATACATAAAAAGACATGTATTTGGGGAAAAATTCATTAGCATGCAGAGCTATTAGTGACTTACTAACTCATTCTTTTTTTTTTTTTTTAAACATTTTTATTGATTCCAGAGAGGAAGGGAGAGGGAGAGCAAGAAACATCAATGCCTCCTGCACGCCCCACACTGGGGATGGAGCCCGCAACCTGGGCACGTGTCCTGACCAGGAATTGAACCCTGACCTCCTGGTTCATAGGTGGATCGCTCAACCCCTGAGCCATTATTAATCACTGTGAAGTGAACATGGCAGTTTTACAAAGCCAGAGAACAAATGAGATTGCCTGTGTTTCAGCTCTTTGCATCCAACCTCCTATATCGAGAAGCCTACCACTTAGGAGCGGAACTGTTGAAGGAGAGAAGGAATGCTTTCAACGGTGGGGGCAGAAAACCGTCCTAACTGTCCATCATTTAAGCCTTTTGTCATCCCACTCAGCTAGCTGTGTGAAGGGAAGGCGCGCCCAGGGCTGGGTAATTCCCATGGCCCGATGACATCGTCCCGGGACCAGGTCCCCTTCCTGTGTCTGCTCTGCCCTCTTAGCGTCTCGGCTTGTTCTGCACGCTGCCTCCCTCACGGCCCTAGCACAGCTGTCTCGGTGCAGATGACAGAGGATGCCAGAAGCAGAGAAAGGGAGCACCTGCCCTTCTGCCCTTTTGAAGACGAAGGAAAGCCTCCCAGCCCAGCAGATTTCCCCTCACAGCTCATTAGGTTACATGTCAAGGCCTCTCACCAACGGGGGTGTGTGTGTGTGTGTGTGTGTGTGTGTGTGCGCGCGCGCGCGCAAGGCCTCCAGGACAGACTGGCGCAGAGCTGAGGGGAGGCCAGCGACAATCTGGGGAAGGTGAACAAAATAAGGGTGTTAGGAAGACTGGTGTCTGGGCTTGACCTGACAGATGCCATCTTTTTTATTTATTCTTAAATAAATATATATATTTTTTATTGATTTCAGAGAGGAAGGGAGAGGGAGAGAGAGACAGAAACATCAACGATGAGAGAGAATCACCGATTGGCTGCCCCCCGCAACCCCTCTCCCCCAACTGGATGGGGCCCACAACCTGGGTATGCACCCTTGACCGGAACTGAACTGGGGACCCCCAAGTCCACTACTCCATCCACTGAGCCAAACTGGCCGGGGCCTGATGCCATCTTACAAAGCAAGTTGCTCTCAGTGACCAGCAGTCTGCGCTGGGAGGAGGGGCCCGTAGCACCTGAAAGCAATGTTCTTGCATAGAAAAGGAGGCCAAGTCAGTCGCTCACTGCTTTAGCATGCACAGTGCCTAACGAGCACGTGCCATTTGGCTACAAGCCACCTGCTTAACGAGCACCTGCGTAATGAGCACGTGATGGCTGCAGGTCACCTGTGTTCTTGGAGGCTCTATATATGAAGCTGCATCCGCTTCTGGGTGTGAAGGTTTCACTAACTCGCTGCGGCTCCAGTCTCTGCTTCTGTCTGTAAGTTCCCCTAATAAACTTGGTTTAATTCTGGAGCTGTCAGCCCCTTTCTTCCATCTGTGGGCCCCTTAGAGGTTGGTTTGAGTACACCTCAGGGAATTGCCCCAGAGGGGCTATGGAAAGAGGCAGAAATGTTAGAGGCAGAAAAAGAGGAAAGACAGATAAGTGTTGACTGTGTAATAGTGGCATTTGTCTCAAGAGATAATCTCATTTTTTACCTAAGTAGGCAAGAAAGTGACACACTAGGAAAAAACCTCAAATTCCTATCATTCCTTATAAGGTGGTACATACTATATTTAAAATGCAAATTAATTACTTAAGCCAAAACCGGTTTGGCTCAGTGGATAGAGCGTCGGCCTGCGGACTGAAAGGTCCCAGGTTCGATTCCGGTCAGGGGCATGTACCTTGGTTGCGGGCACATTTCCAGTAGGAGATGTGCAGGAGGCAGCTGATTGATGTTTCTCTCTCGTCGATGTTTCTAACTCTCTGTCTCTCTCCCTTCCTCTCTGTAAAAAAATCAATAAAATATATTTAAAAAAAATTAATTACTTAATTACAAGAGATGTAGACCGAAGATTTAGAGCTAATTTCTAGGACTTGGTTTAAATTTCCAGTGGGATAGCAACCGATTACCTTTTAAGAGCCTTAACCAACAATTTCTACTTACATGGTGTTTTAGCCCATTTGGGCTGCTAAACCAAGGATACCATAGACCAGTGGCTCATAAACAATGGGAATTTATTTCTTACAGTTGGAGGCTGAGGAGTCGGAGGTTAAGGCACCAACAGCTTCAGTGTCTGTCGAGGGCTCACTTCCTGATTCGGTGAGTACAGCTATTCCATTGAGTCAAGTTCAACTGCTTGCATTACTGTGTCATTCAACAGCGCTCTACTTCCTGGTCTTCATCAAGGGAGACACGCATGCTGACAGTCCCTTAGCTGTAAGCCACCATCCGGTAATGACGGATAGAGACAATGGCTTCTGATGCTGCAGGGAAATGGGTCATTTCCTCATTCGGTGATTATTACTGAACATTAGTATATGCGAAACACTGGTACGAAAAGTGAGGGGCTCGCATGAAATGAAAGATAAGCCTCCTCGCTTTACTTACCACTCATAACTCCCAGAGTGTGAACTCCACGAGAGCAGGGGTTCTGCATTTCCAGCGTTACCTCTCCGGTGTGGTCCAGCATCTGTACACGTTGAATTTCATTACCAGGAGTGAAAATGAACGCCCAAAGGGAAACATTGGGGCCAGCACGTTGGGGACAAATGGGACAAGCGGGTCTGGGCAAAATAATGTATTGGTTACAATTTCAGGTTCAAGTCCCGGACTTCTCAGTTATTAGCTCTGTAATCTTGTGCAGACTTCTTAAATTTTCTGTGCCTGAGTCTCCTTTTCTGAAAAAATGAGGAAAGTTGTAGTACCTATGTCATAGGGTTGTTATGAGCATCAGCTGGATTAACCCATGTAGAACAGTGCTCAATGAATGTGCTCTGTTGTTGGTGTTTGGTGAGGGAAGGTTGAGTTGTTGAGAATGTGAGGCTGGGAGAAGGAACATTGCCACACATCTGAATTTGCCTGATGGTCAGAATTATTTAGGGTCTTTGCTAAAAGCACATATTTCTGGGCCTTCAATCAGTTGATGGTCAGAATTATTTTCTTTGCTAAAAGCACATATTTCTGGGCCTTCAATCAGCACGCCTAGGAAGAGTTGTAGGAATTTATATTTTTGACAAATACTGGAAATGATTCTTATCAAGTTAGTTTGGGAAACTGATGTGGTAGGTAGAGTGTAGACTTCTGACAGATGTGGATTCTGATCCATTCTTTAAACGGTTATGTCCAGGTGTCCACATGGACAAAGGACTGATTTAAGTGCTGGGCATCCAGCAGAGTCTAAAACCCACACAAATCTCTCATTTTTGTGCTTATACATCTTATAGACTACTGGGATCCCTCCTCTAAGACACCAAACGGGGCCTCCCAGAGTGACTGTAAGTGCTGGGCATCCAGCAGAGTCTAAAACCAACACAAATCTCTCATTTTTGTGCTTATAGATCTTATATGGTCTACTGGGATCTCTCCTCTAAGACACCAAACGGGGCCTCCCAGAGTGACTTGAATGAACTCTTTAATCAAACAAAAAGCTTTATTTCCTTGTCATAAAAGCATTACAAGTTCATGAAAGAAAAAAAAATAAATCAGAAGCTAAAAGCCATAGTTCTGATGTTGAAGAGGGAAATCCTCAGTTGCCCAGAGGCCCGAGGCTCACATGAAGTGAAATGATTGGGAATGGAAAAGAACCTGGTGCGGCTGGTGGTTTGGTGGTGGTGGTGTCCGAGTGTTTGACCTGAAATTGGGAAATTGAGCCACCTGACCACAGAAAAGCAGCTACGACCAGATTTGGTTTCCCTGGGTGCTGGGTGTTCGTTTTCGTCTGATTGGCTAGTTGCCAAGACTAATAGGTTGTTTTGACAAATCTCGTCAAAGTTGCCCTTTGAAAGGGAGATGATGGCAGCCGGATTTTCGTTTCCTCCTCCCCCAGGAAGATCGGACCAAACAGGAATATCTTTACG